ATCAAAGGGAAGAAGATTATGTTACCGCCTCGCTGAGAAAAAGTCATCCGTGCCCTGGTAGTCAAAAATGCCAACCTACTTTCTATGTCCATTAAAGTGAACGAGGATTCAGGTTTACCAGCAAAAATACAGCAGTCGCTAACGGAGTTTACTAATCAGATGCCAGAAGATCTTCCTCCGGTATTACCGCCTGAAACTTGTGTGAACTCGAGAGCGAGTTCTTTCCAACCTGGAGCGACTAATGCAGGAGGTTCCGCAAAGATGGAAAGTGAATCGCATATATTTCCTTAATTGAGGCAATTTGACCCGTTTTTAGTTATTTTAGTTAATTTTATTATTTTTTACCATTTAAAGTAATATTTTGTTTCTTTTTTTCTAGGTGATTTAGAATCCAAATTTAAATTTTCAAGTATCTCTAGAATATAAAGTAAACCCAGAATTAAACATTGGCCTTTCATCTGGAACAGACCATTACAGCCATATCTATGCACTCCTCAATGAAGAACATCCAACATCACAATCTGATATGCACTTGGACACCAGGTCATCACTTACTTTGTGAGAAACAACATTTTTTAATCACTTGAACTGCAAAGGCATGTCCTTCCTTCCAAGTTACATCATGTGGGGAAATCTAATTTCTCAATAAAATTCTATTGACTGCAAAAAAACAGTTCTATAGGGCCCGGATGCTGTCATGCCATTCCCGTGTGCACATGGAAGTGACATTTGGAGATAGTTATATTAAGGAAATTTGTGATTAAATTGACATGAAAACCGGCATTAAATTTTAAGTCATTTGTGCAATCACGAGATTAATCAGGCCCTAAAATTTAAAGACGAGTCATTGGTTTATAAAGAGTAAATATATCAAATTTAGGATTTAAAGGATTGACCTAACTCTTTTCTCATCCAGACACAGTTTCGAACAGCTTGAATCTAATGATAATCCACCCGTTTTCGCATCCCTAGCGATAATCAGTGTCTAATTTTGGCTCCAAAATAATCTACTTCTTTTATTCCATATTTTATTTCGGTAAGATTTTTGAGATTTTGTTATTTTTGGTAATTTTCCATAATTTCGTAATTTTGTAGCTATTTAATCCGGCTTGTGGATTAATTTTCGCACTCTGCATTATTAATAATATTGAGTTGATTTTAGAGTATTTTCTGTAGTTTTTGGGCGTTTTTCTTTCGTTTCTTTCTTACGAATCATCTACTACAATAAGTCAATAGAATAATCACTATCCTACTCGGCGTCAAATTTCCAACTGCAATCTGATCTACAGGTGTTTAATGTTGTATATAGAGTCGGCAATGTGATTCAAGAACCATAAATTGAATCGACACGTAAAAAATTGTGGTTGGATTGCATCTCATAGAGAGTAGATGCATTTAGTTGGACTGGTCTATGGACTAGGGAGGGTTTAGAACATAATTTATATTTTCTTTTTGTCGATTTATATTGACATGTACTGTTAGTAAGAATCAATATATAACTTCTCATGGCAGCCAGTCAAGATTCCCATGATAATGACATGGGAAGACTTACTAGAGATATTGGAAGATTGGTAAAACTAGTCAGCAATAATTTTCATGATTAGTTAACAAAATATATTGTTAAGAATCTATTAGTCTATGCACCCTAAATAAAATGTTATTTTATGAGTTGTACCATCATAGTTTGAATCGTAAGGTCCGTCACAGAGGCTCGTGTTGCTTCTACAATTGTAATGTAGGCATAACAAGCACATGATTTTGTACCTTGAGAAACTAGAACACAACTTTCTGATATATGGCTCCTCGAAATAATCTATAGCACTTCATTGTTTAGTGGTTCGCATAGCTCAATTTTGAAAGCAAACTTAAAGAGGGAAGGCCAAACTTCCCCCTCTATGTACTTTATCCCACTACCCGCCCCCCCCCCAACCCAAACTTACTACTGGGGAGTAAAAACCCTTACACCAACAGAACTGGATTTTGGAAATAAAAAATCTAGAGCATTTTGATTTGTATATATTCCTAACATATACTACCTAGATTGCATGGAAAATTTTAAACACTATATATTATCTACTTCCCTGAGTTGATATAGTACCAGCAGAGCACAATCAGGCAATATCATTTTCCTGCTGCCTAACTAAAAATAGATTTTCATATCCACATGTTATTAGCCTTCAAGCTTTATAAAGTATGTTGTTCAGTTATTCAGAAGTGCAGTTCCATTGTCGTATAAACAAGTTAAATATGCATACAGCATCAAAGCAGATATTTCAGAAATTTGAGCAGTCAAATTGCCTATAATAAAGTTAAAATACTGGTTTCTGATAAGTAGATTGTATGCAAAGGCCTTATAACATTGTCAAGTATCTCTAGAATATAAAGTAAACCCAGAATTAAACATTGGCCTTTCATCTGGAACAGACCATTACAGCCATATCTGTGCACTCCTCAATGAAGAACATCCTACATCACAATCTGATATGCACTTGGACACCAGCTCATCACTTACTTTGCGAGAAACAACATTTTTTAATCACTTGAACTGCAAAGGCATGTCCTTCCTTCCAAGTTACATCATGTGGGGAAATCTAATTTCTCAATAAAATTCTATTGACTACAAAAAAACAGTTGTATAGGGCCCGGATGCTGTCATGCCATTCCCGTGTGCACATGGAAGTGACATTTGGAGATAGTTATATTAAGGAAATTTGTGATTAAATTGACATGAAAACCGGCATTAAATTTTAAGTCATTTGTGCAATCACGAGATTAATCAGGCCCTAAAATTTAAAGACGAGTCATTGGTTTATAAAGAGTAAATATATCAAATTTAGGATTTAAAGGATTGACCTAACTCTTTTCTCATCCAGACACAGTTTCGAACAGCTTGAATCTAATGATAATCCACCCGTTTTTGCATCCCTAGCGATAATCAGTGTCTAATTTTGGCTCCAAAATAATTCTAACGCCAGTTTCATCAAGAAATTAGCTTGTCAACAAACATCATAAGCAAATAAGTCTATAAACCTGCTTCGTCGTGTCTCACTTACAGTACATTAAATAATAAGATTAAAAAATTTTAGGGCACATGAATAACTCAAAAATAGTACTTCCAACATTATCTCCATACAAAATGAGAATAATTCAATAATAAAAGAAGAACGTAATGAGAAGAAACTCACGTGCTCCTCCTTCCACTTGGACGGACTCATCGGGTCTTTCCAGCAATCAACCTTAGCTGGCCCATGGTGATCTACAACAATCCCATTTCCACATAATAAAAAACAACAATATCAAAGTACATTTTGGATCATAAGTTAAAACAGAAAAAGATAAAATACAGACAGATAAATACAATAGAATCGATCGGAAATATCAGGTTAAGACGAGTACCAGCGGCGCCAGCGAGGCCACGGCGTGGAATCAGAGAGGCAGATCTAGCGGCTGAACCGGGAGATGATAACCGAGCGAAGGTTACAGCTCGGCGCGCCGTCATTGCAGCCAATGAAGTAGCCATGGCTTCCTGTTTTTCTATCCAAGAGTGAAGGGTATGCGAGCAAATCGGAAATAAGACCTTTTGGAGGAAATATGCGCTTGACGTAGTCAAACGATGTCGTAGTAGGAGACTCACTAATGATCCTCTGACATTTTTTTCAATTCATCCGGTTAGATAGTAATGGTCAAACGACGTCGTAGGAGAAAAATTAAGTCATGAAGGACTACCCACCCACCCCCCCCCAACCCAAACTTACTACTGGGGACTAAAAACCCTTACACCAACAGAACTGGATTTTGGAAATAAAAAATCTAGAGCATTTTGATTTGTATATATTCCTAACATATACTACCTAGATTGCATGGAAAATTTTAAACACTATATATTATCTACTTCCCTGAGTTGATATAGTACCAGCAGAGCACAATCAGGCAATATCATTTTCCTGCTGCCTAACTAAAAATAGATTTTCATATCCACATGTTATTAGCCTTCAAGCTTTATAAAGTATGTTGTTCAGTTATTCAGAAGTGCAGTTCCATTGTCGTATAAACAAGTTAAATATGCATACAGCATCAAAGCAGATATTTCAGAAATTTGAGCAGTCAAATTGCCTATAATAAAGTTAAAATACTGGTTTCTGATAAGTAGATTGTATGCAAAGGCCTTATAACATTGTCAAGTATCTCTAGAATATAAAGTAAACCCAGAATTAAACATTGGCCTTTCATCTGGAACAGACCATTACAGCCATATCTGTGCACTCCTCAATGAAGAACATCCTACATCACAATCTGATATGCACTTGGACACCAGCTCATCACTTACTTTGCGAGAAACAACATTTTTTAATCACTTGAACTGCAAAGGCATGTCCTTCCTTCCAAGTTACATCATGTGGGGAAATCTAATTTCTCAATAAAATTCTATTGACTACAAAAAAACAGTTGTATAGGGCCCGGATGCTGTCATGCCATTCCCGTGTGCACATGGAAGTGACATTTGGAGATAGTTATATTAAGGAAATTTGTGATTAAATTGACACAAAAACCAGCATTGAATTTTAAGTCATTTTTGCAATCATAAGATTAATCAGGCCCTAAAATTTAAAGACGAGTCATTCGTTTATAAAGAGTAAATATATCAAATTTAGGATTTAAAGGGTTGACCTAACTCTTTTCTCATCCAGACACAGTTTCGAACAGCTTGAATCTAATGATAATCCACCCGTTTTTGCATCCCTAGCGATAATCAGTGTCTAATTTTGGCTCCAAAATAATTCTAACGCCAGTTTCATCAAGAAATTAGCTTGTCAACAAACATCATAAGCAAATAAGTCTATAAACCTGCTTCGTCGTGTCTCACTTACAGTACATTAAATAATAAGATTAAAAAATTTTAGGGCACATGAATAACTCAAAAATAGTACTTCCAACATTATCTCCATACAAAATGAGAATAATTCAATAATAAAAGAAGAACGTAATGAGAAGAAACTCACGTGCTCCTCCTTCCACTTGGACGGACTCATCGGGTCTTTCCAGCAATCAACCTTAGCTGGCCCATGGTGATCTACAACAATCCCATTTCCACATAATAAAAAACAACAATATCAAAGTACATTTTGGATCATAAGTTAAAACAGAAAAAGATAAAATACAGACAGATAAATACAATAGAATCGATCGGAAATATCAGGTTAAGACGAGTACCAGCGGCGCCAGCGAGGCCACGGCGTGGAATCAGAGAGGCAGATCTAGCGGCTGAACCGGGAGATGATAACCGAGCGAAGGTTACAGCTCGGCGCGCCGTCATTGCAGCCAATGAAGTAGCCATGGCTTCCTGTTTTTCTATCCAAGAGTGAAGGGTATGCGAGCAAATCGGAAATAAGACCTTTTGGAGGAAATATGCGCTTGACGTAGTCAAACGATGTCGTAGTAGGAGACTCACTAATGATCCTCTGACATTTTTTTCAATTCATCCGGTTAGATAGTAATGGTCAAACGACGTCGTAGGAGAAAAATTAAGTCATGAAGGACCTGAACCGACCCACCTTTAAGGATCATCCAAGAACTAAATAGAAACAATCTTGCACTCAATGCGTTACTTATTGCGGATATTCTTGCTCTTTTATCTATGACTAATGAGACGCTCGTGCCTTGTGTAATTGGTTACGTAATAGAATAGATATTGTTGATCCTAAAATATGTTGCCAACAGATACCGAATCCATCCGCGCACACGTAAATTTGATCCAACACGTTAAGACACATGGACGGCCTAGAAATAATAGCAAAAGGGGGCATGGGAGCGACTCAAAGGCGCGAACAAGAGCGTTCGAAGTTCGATGAGATATTTGCATAACGATTGTACAATAATTATCAATCGATGTTTGTAGAATGCGAGTATGAATTTATGTATGTTGCAAGAGAGTAAAATGTAAAAAATGTTGTATTTATTTTTGTGTTGAATCTTGCATTACCCTTTAAGAGATACATAGGGAGTATTTATAGTATTATAACTTAAATCGTTGTCCTTGGTTGGGAGTACATGTGGTCTCATCTCGTAAGTTTACATGTCAAATTATAGGTATCATATTTGACTTCCTAACCTGCTACACATTTATTAGTCGGCGGCTCCGCCACTACAATGACAAGACAAGACAGTTGTACTTTATGATCCATCAGGAATGATCCTTATGTAAGACCGGATATTTGGGGAGGAGTGCCGCTTAGAGCCTCAAGGCCTCAGATAAGATGGGGCCTTGGAGTGTTAGGCCTAGGGTCAGAACTTGGGCCACGTCATAGGCATGGTTACAGTATGTTGGTCTACTCCTATTGGCCTGTGGGGCTCGAATAAGATGCCAAGTGGTTCGATGTAAGTGGGCCATGGGCCCTAGGAGGTCAGCCAAGTGTGTCAACACGTAACAATAATTCCCCAAGTCCAAGTATAATCATTTATGTAATGCGTGGACTTTTAGTGGTGAAACGTGTGAAATTTTTGTACCCTGAATAATAGTCCCCCAAGTCCAAGTATAGATATTTATATCATGGTTGGAGTTGAAATTGTTGGTGTTTGGATTAGCATGTGAGGTTGTGAAGTTATGTTGACGAGTCGGTCACTGTCGAGGCTTGTGAAGTTGAAATGTAAAGAAACAGAGGAAGCCGAGGTGGTGAGGGAATCGAACCTATCGAGACTTGTGAGGGGATCAAACCTGCCGAGGTTTGTGAAGCTGAAACGTGAAGAAGCAGAGGAAGCCGAGGCGGTGAGGGAATCACACCTGTCGAGGCTTCTGAAGCTAAAATGTGAAGAAGCAGAGGAAGCCGAGGCGGTAAGAGAATCGGAGCTGAAGAGGCTTCTGAAGCTGTCGAGGCTTCCAACGAAGCAGAAGAAGCCGAGGCGGTGAGGGGATCGATCCTACCAAGGCTTGTGAAGCTGAAACGTGAAGAAGCAGAGGAAGCCGAGGTTGTGAGTAGAGTATTGATTGTCTTCGATGTTCGTGCCAATGATTTGATATTTTGTGCACATTACCAAGAAAAGGGAGCCGAGCCATTGCAACTTCCAAGGCACGTACGGTTGCTACATTATATGTGCAATGATGGCTACAGCTGGGGCTTCTAGAAGAAGACGTGTTTGGGAGGTGCGTGAGGAGTACGTTTGAATGTGAGGCGGAGGTTTCAAAACGATTTGAATTCTACGCTTCGGATTTAACCCAAGATCGGAGGGCTGAGATTTCATGATGCCTTTATCCAAGGGCTGGGGTTCGTCTTGGCTTCCTATAAAAGGCCAAAGCCTTACATTATGAACCCTTTTTCATCGTTAAACTTCTGTGTTCTCTGAATTTTCTTAAGCTTCCAACGTCAAAAGTCTTGCTCCGATTTCAAACTCTGGAGTGTCGCAGTTCGTCATTTGTTAGTTGTTCCTGTAGGTATTCCTTTCAAGAATCATTTCTTTTGCGACCTTTGTCGATTTTTCAAATTTTGTAATATGGAGTCCAGTTCGGGTAGGAAATTGGTGACCATAGCTAGGTTGGATGAAGGGGCTGTTTTGAGTGGGGACTCCGAGGTGGAGTATTATGCCATGGTCAAGGAGCCTATAGATTACGAGGAAAAATGGGGGGGCTGCTAGGATACCATCAAACATGACCTTGAAGAAGTTGGAGGAAATTAGAGAGAAATATTGTGTCCCTCATTATATGGAGATGCTAGCTCCCGAAGCCCACGAAAGGGCTTGTTTTTCGAGGCCTGGATGTGTGGCTATAAGTGAATCCCTGTTCAAAGCAGATATGTGTCTTCATCTGCACCCCTTTTTTAGGGCTGTGCTTAGGAATTTTATGTTGTCACCGACCCAGGTTCTGCTGAATAGGTGGAGCCAGCTAGTGGAGTCGTACTTCTTGTGGAAAGAAGTGTCGTTAGGGGAAGACATGCCTCTGCACGTCTTTCAGACCCTTTTTCAGCCTCGTGTCTTAGGTAAAAACGAGTCGAAGTGGTGGTATTATATCACACCCTGGGGAGCTCATGCACCCTTCGTGGTGGTGTTGCTTTCTTCCATCAAGGGATGGTAGGAGTCATGGTTTTGGGTTCGGGGAAAGTAGTAGGCGGTTGAGGGGGACAAGGCCGCGGCTTACACAATACCGACCCAGTACTATAAAGCTCGTGAGTGTCTAAGCTTGAGATGTTTACATTTTCCTAAGTTTCTCAATTTTTTGTTTACTGTTGCCACTTATTTTGCAGATTGTAGTACGAGGTTGAGCTCAGCAAGGGGGAGTTCGAGGTCATCGAGGACATATATAAGAGGCCTTTGAAATTTGGCCACTTCGACCACCTCATTGACCGAAGCCGGTACTTCGTGGATCTGATGGCCTTCAAGGGTAAGAAATGCATCCAATTGATCAAATTTGTACTTGTTTGATACAATGCTGACCTATTGTGTCTTTGCAGATAAATTCAAGAAAGAAGAGTACCCCGTCTCAGACATGGCTTCAATTCTGAGAGCCATCTCCATAGTGAGGGCGAGGCTTCTACAGCCGAGCTCTAGTGCGATGAAGGAGTTCAGAAGTTAGCTGGAGAGGCTGTCAAAGGACGGCACTTCTATGGGGTCAGGAGAGGAGGCTCCCTAAAGGACTGAGAAGGCTAAGGAGCCTTAGGGTAAGGAGAAGGTCCCCGAGGACTCCCACAAGAAAAGGAGGCTGGTTCACGTTATTAGCTCTTTCGGGAAGTTCGGGACATCAGTGTCCCATTCGAGCAAAGATGCCCCTCCTCAGTCGAAGCACTAGACTCTGCCATGAAGGCAGTGAAAGTCGAAATGGTGAGGAAAGCTGAGGCTGAGGAGGCCAGGGAGAAAGCTGCAAAGAGGGCAGCAGCAGAAACCGAGGAGGAGGCTGCTAAGGAGAGGCCAGCTAGGACTCAAGAGAAGTCCCCCATTTTTCTGGCGGGGCATGATGAAGGGCTGGTGCCGGCTCTGCTGGATGCACTGCCTGCTGAGGTCCGTGGTGCCACTGAAATTTTTTATAGGTTATGGATCGACCGGTGGCAGATGCATGTCTCAAGCTACGACGCGGCAGACCTCACTCGGGCCTTGGTTAGTCAAAGTGTGAGGACTTTGGGCCTCGCACTTAAGTGCAAAAAAACACTCGTCAACTTTCAGATGAGGAGTAAGTCCTCCAAGGACAAGTTGACTTCTACTGAGGATGAACTAAAGAAAATAAGGGCTGAGGCGGAAGAGATGAAAGCCCAAAAGATCGAAGATGCTGCTAAATTAGAATCTGCCTTGGCCCAGATTGAGGCTTTAAAGAAAGAGGTCTGCGAGTCTTAATGTGAGGTGGCCTCCCTTACCAAGAAGGTGGATATTTCTAATAATCACCAAAAGGTGATCGCTGAGGCCTTGGAGCAGGCCAATTTGGAGTTGACCGGGGCCAAGGATGTGTCCCACTTTTTGGAAGGCTAAATAAAGTGACATGTAGATGAGCTGCAGAAGATTCGAGGAGAGGCCGAAGTAGCCCGAGAGGAGGCGGTCAAGGATTATATCGCAAACTTCCATCTCACCGAAAAGTACCGACGCTTCGACCTATACTGGATGAACTTTGCTTATGCCGAGATGATGGAGAGGGCCGAGGAGCTTTACCCGAACTGCAACCTATCTCAACTGAGGTTGGTGTTTATAGATGAAGTTCCTCAAACCCTTGTCGAGGAAACAGTTGGCGATGACTTGGCTAAGGAGGATGAGAACAACATTGAAGCTGGAGCTGCGGAGGCGTCTGCTGTCGAGGCGCCCCGACCATCAACTTAAGCATAGTTTACTTTCAGTTTATTCCGATGTAATGGCCTTGGGCCCTCATCTTGTAATATTCTCAGTATTAATGAAAGCTATTTTGCAACATGCTATTTTCTTTTCAATATCAAGTGCATGGACCTCAGTAAATAAACATGTCGAACTTGACATAACTTCCATTACTTGAAATAATCAAGCTTAAGGATGAGTTAATAATCGAGCTGTATAAATGATGACCTAATGGGTTGCATTCAGGTTCCTTCACTTGAAATAAACCACGATGTCTAAGTAAACCGAATCGGTTATTTGACTTGAACTTTACGTTGAGTTCAAATTAGGGAGGTAAAGTGATGGTCGATAAGATGTGCATGTCGAGGCATGTGGAGTGAACCTTGGAGTTCAGGTGAGGTGACCCCAGGGTTGGGGATTAGGACCCCTAATCTGAGGCTCCCACGCTTCCCTCCATGGTGGATGGTGCAGCCATGTAGAGGCTTCTCCCTTTGACATTTAGCCTCGCCAAAGGAAGACATGTGGAGTGAGCCTTGGAGTTCAGGCGAAGTGACCCGGAGTTGGGGATCAGGACCTTTTCTTCGAGACTTCCATGCTTCCCTACATGATGGATGGTGCAACCATATAGAGGCTTCTCCCTTTAGCGTTTAGCCTCGCCAAAGGGAGGC